TAAACTAAACATATCCCAAGAACGGGCCATCGTAAGTCTTTTATCGCATAAAATATAAACATTAACTTTGGCGAGCAGCGCTCGGGTTGCCCGCTAGGATACGACATCTAGGCGCGAGCAGTGTTCGAGTGTGGCCGTTAAGTGGTTAAAAGTTTAAGTTTGGAGATATATGAAGCAAAATCAGTTTGGAAGTGTTTAATGATTTGTCTTTTATCTACATTTTGAAATTTATATAGTGTATTTTTATATATATATATATTACGCAGAGTGTTACTAGTGTTTTCGGTATAAGTTAAATAAGTTGAATTTTGTTATAAGTTAAAAAGTTAACTTTGTTATAAGTTGACATAATTTTAAGTTTGTTATAGTTGAATACGTTTAAGTTTGTTATAAGTTGAATAAGTTATAGTGTGAGTTCAAATAGTTAAGAAATGCATAGTTCTAGTAGTGATAATGTGTTCAGATGTTGACAAATCCCCCGAAGGAAGAGGAAGTAGTGAGATACGAGCAAAATTTTATTGACTCTTGGCTCACTGACAACTTTAGTGGATGGCTTGCAAAAAGTAAAAAAGGGAACACTATTTTTACTGCTCTGCATGCGACTGTGATCGTAAATGCGGAATTCAAGAATTAACGCGACACAAAAATTCGTCAAACATCTAGAAAACAGTAAAAAAATACAAAATCAACCGAAGCTTACGTCTTATTTGCATCATCATCAAATCAATGGAACCAAAGCAATGGCAAAAACCGGCGAAATTAAATTACATGTTTTTATTGCAGAACATAATCTTGGATTTAATGTTGCTTCACATCTGACCAATTTAGTAAAATCGGTGTGTCCGGATCAAAAATTGCAGAACATTTATCTATGAGCCGAACAAAAGCAAGATCTGTCATAGTAAATGTGACAGGAAAACCTCTGAAGAAAACTTAATAAAAAAATTAAGAGAAAATGAATTTGCATTGCTGGTTGATGAGAGCACTGATAAGTCGGCCATCAAGCATTTGGCTTTAATAGCCAGGATAGTCAATGCAAATTATGAAGTAGAAGATAAATTTTCTAACTTTGATTGCAATCACCGACGATCAGCAAAAGCTTTGCATACAAATTGTTGAATATTTTTGAGGAGAAAGAAATTCCATATAAAAAAATTTATTAGGATTTGCGTCTGATGGTGCTAATGTCATGTTTGGGGGCGAATAACTCATTGGTCACTTATTTGAAGAATGATATTCCAAATCTTTTCACAATGAGTGTATATGCCATTCATTTGCGCTTTGTGCATCCCACGCATGTGAAAAATTACCGAGGGGTCTGAAGATTTTTGCCGTGAAGTTTTCAATCACATTCAAAATTCTCCTAACGTATTGGTGATTTTAAAACTTTTCAAGCATTTACAAATATTAAACCGCATAAAATATTACACCCTGCACAAACCAGATGGTTATCATTAAACGATGTTGTGAAGCGATTGTTGGAACAACTTCCAGCGATAAAATTATATTTTCAATCTGCTGTCTTTACGGATCGTCTTCTTTCTGCACAAAGTATATTGGCAAAAGCCATGGAACCGACAACCGAATTATATTTGGAATTCCTTCGATTTTTCTTTACCAATATTCGTGAATTTGAATAAAGAAATGCAGGCAGAAAAACCAAAATTGTACATTTTATATGATCAGATATTTACAGCATATGCGACAATTTTGGAATGCTTTATTCAACCAAAAATTTTTGAATGTTCAAAAGATGAATTGAATATGGTAAAAATAATTACAAATGCCAAACAACAAAAATATTAAATGTGGATATAAACGATTTGCGAATGCATTTGCCTTTGTTAGAATTTATGTTGGAGGAATGATTCAAATATAATTCGGGTGAAAAGGGAGTCTGAAGGATTGGACAATGATCGATTGCTGAATTTTTACACAAAATGTAAGGAGTTTTTACATTGATGCAGCAATCCAAATAAAACAGAGATTTCCTTTCCACGATAAAGAACGGCAAGCACTAAAATTTTACAGATGTTAATCCACAAGTGATTTTAAATACTGATTTGAGACAAAATTTTACATCAATTTCGGAAATGTTATATTATTTTCCAAATATTTTCCAAATAATATAACGGAAGTAGATATAGAATGGAGGACTCTCAGAAAATACGAATTTTGATTTGATGAGACTGAGACGCCCAGTACAGAGCAATTTGGAGACATGTATCAAATTAAAAAAAGGCGATGGCTCAGGGATGTTTCCATTATTATCAATTTTAACAAGAAACTTCTGTGTTTGCCGCACAGTACAGCAACGGTGAACGCTTGTTTTCAAGCATAAATATAATGAAAACAAAGCTAAGAAACAAGTTATCAACTACGACTATTAAAGGCACTTTACACACAAAGTCAGAAATTGAAAATTGTTATGAATTCAGTGTGAAAAGCGATCACTTGAGTAAGTTTAATTCAGAAGATGTATAATTTCAAAATAAAGATGAAGCGGAACACCAAGAAGACATTGACATTGAAAATGAGATATCGGAAAGTTAAAAATGAATCTTACAAGAATATTATTTTTCTAAAGTTTTACAATTTCTAATTTATGTCAATTATATAACTTTATGAACTCTTTATACTCTTATACATTCAATGTTATGAAAATGCATATTTATTTATATTATCATATATCTTTTTGACTGTTAATACTCTTATACAATTATGCTTATTTATATATGTTAAGAAAATGCATATTTATTTATTTTATTTATGTTAATATTTATAAAACTATGCTAATAACATGATTCTGCTAGTTTTTAATTATATTCTCAAAAATATTATATTTATTACCATCATTTAATAAAAAAATATAAACTGTAGATCTACAGTTTTTTCAATATGACATTTGCAGTTTTCTACAGTTTTTTTCTGCGTAATCTACAGTTTTCTCTATGGCGGACCTGGCAACACTGTGCTTGGATCAGTTGAAATCGAGCTATTGTTTGTTAAGTTTTTATATAATATAATTATAGTTTATTCGAAATTAATTTATAAATGGAAAATGCAGATTTGATCAAAGATTGCGTGATTTGCAAAGGGAATATTTGGATTTTCTCGATGATGAGTGTGTACAGAAAATTCAATAATTCAGTTATGCCCTTGTTTACATTTATTCTATTGCTCAATTTTAGGAAGACAAGGAATTTATATGCAACAAGTGAAAAATTTGATATCAGAAATTAGTTCGCCTAATAGTAAATAAATGATTTGAGACGAAGAATCCAGTTCGTGCTACTTCATTGTTGAACAATGCCTCGAGGAGCAATTGGCTTTCCAGAGAGCATTGAAAGAATACATTGGATCTGTTGATCCAACATATGCAAAGGAACATGAAGATTTTTTTATTGCCTTTGAAGGAAGTTTTGGAAATAAACATGTTACCCTAGATCGTTAACAATCTAGGTAATTTTTCACCTTGTTTATTCAAATGATGTTTGTTGTATATATATAAATATATATTACATTATTATCATTTTGATAATAATCCAAAAGTGTATTATGGAATAGAATATAATACCTCTGTATAAATATTTATAATAATGAGTTCAATATTTTTGACTATAGATATCTTGGAAATCTTGTTTGTGTGGAAGGAATTGTTACTAAAGTTTTCATTGATCAGGCCAAAAATAGTTAGAAGTGTGCATTATTGTGATGCAACCAAAAAAGTTATTGAGCGCAAATATACAGACTTAACATCATTTGATGCATTTCCATCAAGCTCTGTTTACCCTACAAAGGTGATTTCATTTTTCATATAAATATTTAATTGTAAATATATTTTTAATATAAAATATTAAAAGAAATAAGACTAATATTTTATTAAATTGCCTTAGGATGAAGATGGCAATTTGTTAGAAACAGAGTATGGATTATCAGTATATAAAGATCATCAAACATTAACAATTCAAGAAATGCCTGAGAAGGCTCCTGCAGGTCAATTGCCACGTTCTGTTGATGTAGTCTGTGATGATGACTTAGTAGATCGGTGTAAACCTGGAGATAGAGTTCAGATTGTAGGAAATTACCGGTGTCTTCCAGGAAAGCAAGCAGGATATACTTCTGGCACATTTAGGTAAGAAAATAAATTTTCACTTACATCAAATGATAGCATTGCTTTCTGAATTATCATATTGTAATTTTGTTAGGACAATTTTGATAGCCAATAATGTATCACAATTGAACAAAGATCAGAACCTTTCTATATCTCGTGAAGATGTTGCGCTGTGTAAAAAACTTGCAAAAAGTAAAACAGATGTTTTTGCATTATTATCTAAATCTTTGGCTCCAAGTATACATGGACACCACTATGTTAAAAAAGCCATTTTATGTTTATTGCTTGGCGGTGTTGAAAAGTTGCTGCCTAATGGAACAAGGCTTAGAGGGTAAATATAAGTTTTTGTTTATTGTTATTGTTTTACTTTATAATTTATATTGTGTTTATAATTTTCAGGGATATTAATATTTTGTTAATTGGAGATCCAAGTGTAGCTAAATCTCAATTGTTAAGATATGTTTTGTGTACAGCACCTAGAGCAATTCCCACTACTGGAAGAGGTACATTTTATTTGTATTACATATAAAATAAAAAAAAGTAATTAGACTTGGTAATCTTCATAATATGCTTATATTTCATATAGGATCATCTGGTGTGGGTCTAACAGCGGCTGTTACCACTGATCAAGAAACTGGTGAAAGAAGACTTGAAGCTGGTGCCATGGTGTTAGCTGATAGAGGAGTTGTCTGTATTGATGAATTTGATAAAATGAGTGATATTGATCGAACAGCTATTCATGAGGTAATTATTAATAACAATGATAACCTAAAAGACACATTTGTTCATGAGTTAATTTACAGATGCAATGTCTATTCAAAACAAATGTTATTTATAATTTTTATGCAGGTTATGGAACAAGGAAAAGTTACAATTGCCAAAGCAGGAATACATGCTAGCTTAAATGCTCGTTGTTCTGTACTTGCAGCTGCAAATCCTGTTTATGGACGAGTAAGATTGAATTGAATATCATTTATATTGTTTATGACTAAAATTTGGTTTACTAATTTGTTTGTTATTTCAGTATGATCAATATAAAACACCCATGGAAAATATTGGCCTACAAGATTCACTGTTGTCTCGTTTTGATATACTGTTTGTTTTACTAGATATTGCTGATGCTGAAACTGATCACATGATATCTGATCATGTTGTTAGAATGCACAGATATAGGTATCTTTAAGTTCAATTTAACACCTTAATAATGAATTTAGTTTAAATATAAATCTCAAATAAAATGTTTTTCTAGAAATCCTGGAGAGCAAGATGGCTCTGTTTTGCCAATGGGTTCCTCTGTCGACATGTTGTCTACTCAGGATCCAGATCATGACCCTTCTCAAGTAAGTTACATCTTTGTTTTACCATTTGTTTAGATCACTGTACCAAATAAATAATAATTTACAGGCTGGTGAAACTCCGATGTATGAAAAATATGATGCTTTATTACATGGAAAGAGCAGAAGCCGAACGGATCAAATATTATCAGTAGCATTTATGAGAAAATATATACATATTGCAAAGTGTATGAAGCCAAAACTAACTGAAGAAGCTTCAGAACTAATTTCTGATGAATACTCTAAGCTACGATCTCAAGATAGTATGGAATCTGATGTTGCACGAGTGTGTATCTCATCCAACAGATTTATAAGAAACCATTCATTTGTTTGTAAATAAATTTAAATTCATAATTTTTCAGACACAACCAGTTACTGTGCGTACATTAGAAACATTAATTCGGTTGTCCACAGCACATGCAAAAGCTAGATTGTCTAAATTAGTTACTGAAGTTGATGCCCAAGCTGCAATTGAACTTGTGCAATACGCATACTTTAAAAAGGTAATTAAATATATCACAAATTTTCTACAATAATTTGTTTGTAATACAAAAAACAACCGTGGTTCTGTGAATTTTACAGGTTTTGGAGAAAGAAAAGAAAAAGCGAAGACGAGATAGTGGTGAAGATTCAGATTCAAGCCAAACACAAAGTCAAAGTAGACCAAAAAGAACCAGAGTTTTGGTAAGAAGCAATTTTATATTACATAATTATAAAAAAAAATCATTATATAAAAATATTAAAATTGATGATGGATTTTTTTCTGTTACCAGAGGAGACCACCAGGAGAAGAAGGCCATGATCCTTATGAATATGAATCTGATGAAGAAATGGTAGATACTCCTGATGAAGGTGACTTAACACGAAGAGCTACAAGGCAGACTCGACCAGTTTCAGATGCACCATCAACTTCTCAAAATACAGCTGCCATTTCGACAGACAGTGAACCCCATGTTGAGTTATCTCCTGCAAGACTGCAGCAATTCAAATCAATTCTGCAACAATTATTCAGAAAAGAGCGTACACAGTCTTTGTCAATGGTTAAAGTCGAGGAGCATGTAAATAATGAAGTAACAGAGAAGTATTCCAAGAGTGAAATTAAACAAGCTGTTGATATTATGACAAATGAAAATCAAGTTATGTTGGCTGATGATATTTTATTCCTTATTTAATTATTTATAACTGTTTTATTAATGTTTTACTAACCATTTTGTATTAAATTTTCTACAGTAAAGATTAATTTTTCAATTTTAGTATTTTTTTCTTTTCATATTGATTATGGCATTTCTATTATGAAAGTTTGATCATTTATTTAAATCCAATAATCATTACATACAAGTTCTAGATGTATATAAAGTTAACTAAAATATAATATAGATACATACATTATTATAATAATTACATTGTGAAAGTTCTTACAGCTTCACATAAAGCTCTCATCCATATTCCAACAGCATGAGCACCAGCATCAGGATATTGTGTATTCACAGACTTTCTTGAATAAACTGCTCTACCGGCTTGTGGTGGCATATTAACTGTTAAAAGTGCAGCTTGCTCAGCAGCTTCTGTTGCTTGTTCTAACGCCCTGAACTGAAATCATTGTATGTTATGAGGACAACTTTACTAAAACATTGCATAGTATTACTGATTACAATATATCATTAAAAAAATAATTAATAATCCTAATTTTCAACATTAAATAAGCACCTCAGGTTCTGTACGAGGGATGGAATTATTTAAAGCATTCAGGACAGCATGCAGAGGATCTAACATAGTTCTTTCACCAACTTTTGAATGGCCATGATTTTGGATGGCTTTGATTCCATTATTCAGCGCTGTAGTCCATGAAGCTAAGTTAATTACTAAACATTGCCTAAAAGCAGAATTATTCAAAACTTTGTAGATTCTTTATAAGGTAATTAATTTTATATTGCATATATATGTATATATATACACACATATATATATATATATATATATATATATATATATATATATAATAGTGTGAAAGAATTTCATTTACTTGAATACTATTGAAGCAGCTTGAAAGAAAATGCTGTATAAGGCACCTGATGTTCCACCCATAAACTTTTCAGCAACTTTGCTAATTTGAATCAGAAATATTTCAGGATAGTTTAAATTTAGTGCTTCAGTTTCTAGAAGCTTTAAAATCTCAGCTGCACCTCTAGCAATTGTTGATCCTGTTATTGACTTTAATTAATATTTTGGTAGATAAACAATTAATATTGAGACATTCATTTAGTGTAGTGTAGTGTAGGTATACCTGTATCACCATCTCCAGCTTCTGAATCTATAATATTCAATTGTTTTTCACATGATACTAAGGCTTCACAAATATAATATAAGCTTTGATGAACCATCTGAAATGTATCAAAAAAAAGATCAAAAGTTCATGTAAAAAGATTTAAATAAATATTCACGTTTAAAGCATCAAGTGAAGTTGCACCTTAGATCCATTGGAGCTTAATTTTGGACCCGTCGGTTCAATATTTTCTATTTCAATAGAATATTTATTTTTAATAAATATGTCATCATATAAATAGTTCTCTAAATTAATATAAGAAGCCTTCCATGCATCAGTATCACACAAATGATCCATGCATTCTGTAATCAATTCATCTCCTAATAGAATGCTTATAGAAAATCCTTTTACATTTAAACTAGTCAAATAAGTTCCACAATAAATTCTTACAACCCCATTATTAAAGTAGTCTCTGTATTCATCTTTGAGTTGAAGTATGACTTCATTCCTTATAGTACACATTTCAGTGGCCGTATGACCTCCAAGATTATTTATTAAAATAAAAAAGTGCTTGGAAGATTTGGGAAGATCTTCGAATAAAGTATTAAGCATTTTATTAACCATGCTCCTATAATCCTCACTGTCTAATTTCAGAAACATTGAGCCTGGTTCTCCATGTACTCCTTTTCCAAGTTCAACATTATCTTTGTTTATGGATATTCCAATGCTTTTAATTCTTTTTTCTGCTAATATGCAATTAATGAATGAAGAAATATCTTTTAAGCACCATCCTTTATCGCTTAATGCACATGCAATTTTATTTATTAAAACTGCACCTGCTAAACCCCTGCGACCAACTGAAGGTATATAATTTTTTATTGCACAATCATCATTTACAATACACATTTCTACATTTATATTATAAGATCTGGCACGCTCAATTGCTAATCCAAAATTTAGCCTATCTCCAGTGTAGTTGAGAATGATAATTAATATTCCTGGCTCATGGTCTTTTCCTAAAAAAAAAAATACAATAATTAAAATTGTAATAATAATAATTAGGACAAGGCTTGTGTAGTTTAAATACCCAGTTCGAGTATAGTTTGAAAAATATCAGAACTTGAAGGAGCGGCAAATATTTCTCCAGAAACAGATGCTGTTAAAAAACCAGCTCCCACAAAACCAGACATAGCTGGCTCATGGCCACTTCCTAAAATGTACAGCTGTTTATGCACATTATATAAACAGATTTAAGGATATTTAAATACCTCCTCCGGATATGATTTTAACTTTGTTAAGACTCCCATGATCAGCCCGGATAACAGTTTTATTATTTACCAGTAAACGTAAATTTGGATTTTTTAAAACCAAACCCATTAAATTATCTTCCACAGATCCTTTTTCAGGTAATGATATCTGCTCGAAGCCCATGCTGGTGGAAAAAAGCTGGACTGAAGTGACCAGATCTAATTGGAATGGATTCTGTTTGGAAGTAAATAGAAAATAAATGATGAAAGTTATTAGTAATTGCGTACATTCAAATTTAATAACTTAATTGATGTACATATATAAAATGACAACAGTATAATGTCACCAAACATATAGGACTGAAAAAAAGATCATTGCAAGGTGAATTTGCAAATAAAAACAGGGTTGTATAAAAATTTCAAAATTGAAATATTTATGTTAAGGGAAACACCTTCAGCTTAGAAAAAGTATTATTTCATTTTTTCTTGGTGAAAAGAAAAGTATTTGGTGTACATTTTAATATTAAAGAAGTAATTTACTATATATATGAGTAACAAAATAGAAATTTATTCAAAAAGCCAATTTTGCAAGGATTAAAGAATTTGAGCCTATCTGAGGGACCCAGTGTAAATTTGGGACTAGAAAATAATATTTAAATTGAAATTATAGAAACCATAGAGATTTTGAAAATATTGATTTTTGTGTGATTGGGGATAGTATTTGAATGAATGAAAAATGTATAGTTTTGTTACCCCTCAAATTTCAATTTTAACAACAAAATTGTTATATCTGGAGCATAACATAAGTTTAATCATGTAATATTTACATATTTAATATAGATTAGATAAATTAGATAAATGCATGAATGTGTGCTTAGTTTCGAAATAGACAAATAAGAAATTAAATCAAATTGCTCTTATCAGCAATTATGTTCTAATTATCAGCATTTGATTTTTCTAACTGACAGAAACCAAAAACCAAACCAGTGTACTGTCAAGTAAGATTCTGTCAGGTTATACACATTACCTCTTCGATTCAATTAATTCTTAATTTGTATAATGTTAAAGACTGAATATATTTTCAATTATATATTTAATTATAATTGAATTAGGTTTTAAGACTTGTAATGAATAAAGAATCCAAGTATTTATTATTTCTAATATGGATATCGTATTTATTGTTAGCCGCTGTGTTCACCTTTACCAGAGGTTTTCTTTTAATGAAAATCAGTCAAGACACTTTTTCGCAATGTTCAAATATAGAACAACTCCCTTGTGATTCATACGAAACGTGCACGTTGAATAATAAATTGCAAAGTCTTTTCAAAAATGTGAATACTTCTACAGAAACTTGCTTACCAAAGTCTTCAAAAGTGATATTAGTGATAATAGATGCTTTAAAATATGAATTTGTTCAATATACCCCAGGATTACAGAACCCATTAGCCTATCAAAATAAATTACCGGTTATTGATGAGTTATTAAGAAAGCATCCTAAAAATGCTCGACTCATGGAATTTATAGCTGATCCTCCAACTACTACCATGCAAAGATTAAAAGCTCTAACAACTGGTAGTTTACCCACTTTTGTCGATGCAGGATCCAATTTTGCAGCAGCAAAGATATCGGAAGATAATTTAATACAGCAGGTGAACTTTTTTTCCAGTTATAATAGAGTGAACACACTTTCTGTGATATTTTGCAAAATGTTTATTACACTATGATGAAATAATAATTATTTGAGTAAGGTACTTTACTGCATATGCTCACAACTGATATTATTACTGGTTTTCTTCATAACATGAGAATTTATATTTAATATCTTTTATTCCAGGCATAAATGTACTTAGGGTTTTAATGTGGTGCTAGCTTTAGTTTTATTACATTACCATTTATTTAAATTTGCAATAAAAGCACTGATATCATACAAGTTCGTTTTCGATATGATATATTAGTTATTTCAGAATTCATTTATTCAGCAAAATATCTATTATCTAATAAATTATTAATTATTTGAGTAAGGAATTTAAAAGCTTCTTTGAAGCATATGTTTATAATGAGTATTTGGTAAATAATTTTAATTCTTTTATTTTGAGACGTCAGTACTTAATTTGTCTTTTATTTATAACATGAGCAATTCTTGTAATATGTTCATCATATAAATGAAAGAGATTAATTAAAAATATAATCATGTCAGATATACTTTGGCAAAAGGTAATTAAATACATTGATATTTTAATTATAGTAACGATAAAAACATGAATAGTTTGTTTTTTAATTCATTATTTCTTTATATTCATTAATCATAAATATAGTATATTCAAAAGTAAATAAATTGTATGAATACTTATTGTATAATTTATTTATTTTTATTTTATTTTTTTAAATATATAGGCCACATATTTTTTCCAAGAGAACTTAAACATACAATTGTTTTACATTTTATATATAACAATTAATATATATACAAATATTATACCACATGGATAAATTACAATATATAGTAAAATTAATAATGCACTTCATACAAAATTACATAATACAGAATGTAACAATATTATTTATTTACATAGAATAAGATAAAATAATAAAAGATATTTGAATGATAATGTGATAATAAGGATATATTTTTTTTAAATGTGTATTAAATAGTTCTTATTAGCTAAAAAGCAAATCCTAACTACATTTAAAATGTAAAATGATTGGTACACATTGTTTATATTAATATTTATTAAATGGAAACTTAAATTTTATATTTTATTTAAAAAAGCACATTGAACATTTATGATACAAATTATTGTATTTATCAAATTTTTCTTACAGTTGGTCAAAAAGCAACGCAAAACAATATTTATGGGTGACGATACATGGTCCAGTTTATATCCAAATAGATTTTCTAAATCATACCCATACCCATCATTTGATGTCTTTGATCTGGACAGTGTTGATAATGGCATAAATAAACATCTATTACCAGAAATTAAAAATGAAGGTATTGTTCAGTAATTCATTGTATAAAAATGTTACCAATTCAGTAATTCAATATTTAAAAATGTGACGACACTTTATATTTGAATGAAACTATTTTCAGGGTGGGATTTAATAATTGCACACTATTTGGGTGTTGATCATTGTGGTCATAAATATGGTCCATTGCATTCTGAAATGTCCAGAAAATTAAAAGAAATGAATGAAGTGATCAGGTAATTGATATAAATAATTTATATTTAAAATTTTTGGCACGATATTAAAGTTGATGATTATATTGTAAAGTATTAAATGTGAAATTTTATCTCATAAGAATATTCTATGTCTTTGCAGTGATATTGCAAAAGAAATGGATGACAATACAGTATTATTCGTAATTGGTGATCATGGAATGACCCTTACAGGTATAATTACATACTTACATTTATATAACAAATTCTATGTGAAGCAATTTAATTAAACTTTCCTTTTCCTTGTAGGAGATCATGGCGGTGACAGTGAAGCTGAAGTAAAATCGGCTTTGTTTGCTTATACTAAAACAGAATTTATTCCTTCTGAATTAGTACATGGAAAAAATTCAGTTAAACAAATTGATATTGTTCCCACAATATCTGCTATTCTTGGAATTCCTGTACCATTTTCCAATCTGGGAAGCATTATTTTAGATGCACTTCCTACAGTTACTGATAGTTTACCCTATGAAAATTGGCAATACTCACTGTTGTTATTGTGGTCCAACGTAAAACAAGTAACAGACTATATATTGAATTACTCGGATGGTTCTAATCAATTTCATGATGATAAAATTTCTGTCATTCGACAAAAGTTTGAAATTCTCAGTCACAGAGTTCTAAGTATAAGCAATGAAATGGCATTCAAGTCCTTTGCAAAAGATGCTCAAAATTATATTAGTTTAGTAAGGCAAATGTGTGAAGATGTTTGGGTTCAATTTGATTCACAGTTAATGTCTCGTGGTCTTTGTTTGTTGATATTTTTAATTTTTGCGATTCATATAATTTTTAATGGTTTAGAAATCTCACGTATATCTGAAATTATGGACAGTTCATTTGTTGTTAATGCATACTCATTTATGTTGATAACAACTTGTGTTTGTTACATTATTTCATTTTTATTCAATGATATAAATTTAGTTTTGACAATATTTCTTACTACTAGTGTTATATCATATGTTCTGTTTGCTATTCTTATTGTTCAAAATTGGGAGGCTATAGCATTAAATTTTCATGAAGGTGCGAAAGAATACACATTTGCTACGCGAACGGTACGATATTTATTATTTTTGTCTATATGCGTCTTATTTTCAAATAGCTACGTTGTCGAAGAAGGACAAATTTTATCATTTTTATTAATAACTATTGTACTCATCGCAATTTACGATGCTTGCTCTCATATGAAACCAGAAAAATTAACATTTAATTCTATCAGAATGAAATTGTTGATACTTGGGGTTGTGTTGACGGTTTTGATTCGTTTGTCTCATTTCTACTTTCGGTGCAGACCTGAACAAATGAATTGTTCAGTATTGGATATAAAAATACTGTCTATAGACAAAACAACTTGTATAGTAGCTTTAATATCGATGGCTCTTCTGACAACACTGACTAGAATTTGGTTGCAACATTGCGGAAATTTGGTTGGTTTTAGTCCGAGTGTATTAATTTCGAGGTATTGTCCTACAATATTAGTTGTATTTATTGGTGGTTTTTGGGTGTTGAAACAAATGCCACAAAACACTAAAACTATCCATTTTCAAGTAGATATGCTGCCTCTCTCGATTTATGCTGTATCAGCAATAGCTTTGATTCTGTACTGGGTAAGACCGTTATGTGTTTATCTATTACCGAAATCCAAACCCGCGGCTCCTTCGATATACGGACGGAATAATATAATACCACAGTTATTCAATCATTTAAAAGTTTCTTATCAGAAAAGTCGAACTGATCCTAATGAAGACGTGCCTATAGTTTGTGGTTTAGGAACTGTTTATAGTTCAGTTTTTATCAATGTCGGTTTGTTGGCCAGTTTACCTTTGGCACTGCTGCATGGCGTAGTATTGTCTCCATCACTGTTATTGCTGTTTGCCATCTGCTTAGTCTTGGCAAGCATTCTTGGTGTTATGCGATATGAAACTGCAAAAAATCTAGGTAATTAATATATGCATCTTTTAACCAGCGATAAAAAACTAGTCTATTACCATTAATTATAATTGGTTGGTCAATTTAAGAAAATATTCAAAATTTATTTAAGAAGCCAATATTCTCATATTGGCAGAATGAAATATTATCCGCCAATTGTAGAACTTGGTTATAACTTTGATTTAAAAACATGAAATTGATTGTTAAGACTAAATGTTTTATATTTTCACTTTCCAGCTGATCTCTTCAAAGTGCCTTCTGTATCGATATTTGCTTGGATGCTTTTATCCATGTATTTCTTTTATGGAACTGGACAACAGCCTGCATTTCCTACTCTTCAATGGGAGGCAGCCTTTGTTGGAATGAATGAAGGATATTTTTCAACACAAAATATTTATGTACGCGGCTTGTTGGTTATTTTGAATACATTCAGCTCGCAAATAATCGTCAGTTTCATGCTGCCTCTGATTTTAATCGCTCCGTTCACGCTGTATGCTATTTTTCCTAGCTTAGGAGGTGAGTTTGAATATTATTATAATACAATTTATATTCATAAAATAATATTTAATTTCTGAGTAATATAAATAATAGTATTAATAGTATATAATACAATAGTATTGAAATTTTGTGTACAACAACATTTTTTATGAAATTTACAGGCAACTCTAGAGAAAAGGATTTAAATCGTGGGGAACTCAATTTATACGAAATGAATGATAATTTTATTGACGGCATGTTTGTGGCTACCAGCAAATATATTTTATTCCAAGGAGTTCGTGTACGTAAAACACAATTTAAATATTCAAATATAAATAATTATTCAATGATATAACTATCAGATTATTACTTTTTTAGATGTTTGCTAGTATGTTAGCGGCTACGATACTCTGCCGACATTTGATGGTGTGGAAGATCTTTGCTCCAAAATTTTTATTCGATGGATTCAGCGTTTTGATAACACTCGTTTTTACAGTTTTCAGTTTCATTTTCTTACTTCGTATAAATTTGCAAGTCGGAAACCTTGTCAATAAAATAACGAAGGAAAGCTGATATTACTAAAAGACTAATTAAGAATTCACAAGTGAGCCAATTTTATATTGATTAGCAAAATTTTATAAGGTTAGTGCACCATCAGCTTCATTAATATAATTCGAAACGTTATTTCATAATTTTTACCTCAACACATTCTGCTATCGATCAAACTATCTAATTACAACATTCATACATTTCAAAAATTTAACATAAATGTGTTTGCATTTTTGACTACTATATTTATGTCTATATCAATCGAAAATATTTATAACTTCAAATTTTTGTATAATGCTGCAAATGAATTGTAGTATTGGAACGATAATATTATATACATAATTTAATCTAATTAAAATTTTTAGAAAGCAATGTATGACCAAATGCATAGATATATCAAGATTTATAATATCTTGATATTAGTATTTGAAACTTTGCATATATCAAAAGTGACCAATATTTAAATGTAACAACAAACACCATATTTTACGCCATTCTACCTTAAATCATTATTCATTATTATTTAGTTATTTTTATATCGAATTTTAGTACAAATTTATAGTCATGTTTATATGGAAAGTACACATTTAATTATTAATATAAGAAAAATAAAATCAAATTCTAATCTAATTATATCGAAGGTGATTTATATCAAGTCAGTAATGATAATAATGAAGCCTTTGAATATAATGTCTGAATTTTAATAGTGCAAATATAAAACTTCAAAATATATAATTATAATTATAATTCGTTTTCGTTACAAATATATTGATTTTCGTCGCCATTAAAAAAATCGGTTGTATATTTAAAATAAATTAAAGTAAGCGCATATAATAATTTGTTATTTAAAACCAAAACCGAATTATATTTATAGTAAATAATGTATTAAATAAATATAATTTGGCTTATATTTATTTGATATAATATAATTTAAATTTAATATATTAATGCAAAATTATTTATTTATTTTTCTAATTATGTTATTGTATTATTGATAGTATTATTGCAATCATGCTACATTAAAAACAAATTATTATTACATTTAATTAATTAAAAAATAGTCAAAATATTAAGTTCAGATATTGTAACTTTGAAACTTGATATTAAAATTAATATAATAATTATAAAATTGTAGTCATTTGCGTAGTGTAATCAAGTTGATACGTTTATAGATTTCATATAAAAAATAAATGGGTAAAACATCTATACGTGTTATATTATGTAGATAGAAACATAGAATTTATATGAGTATAAATTATTTATTATTGTAATTTTGTTAACAAGGAGCCTTAATTTTTCCTAAAAAATATATTAGTTAAATTGATTTTTTATAAAAGTACTAAGAAACTAATTTTATTAATCGCTGGGATTATTAATAATTAATGAAAATATAGCTATATATACACACACACACACACGCACACATATATATATATATATATATATATATAAATTGCAGTAATAAATTCCGCACCATTTGACCTTCTTGATAAAGACAATCTGCATTTCTTGGATTTTGTTTGCAAATAATGAAGAGTATTTACTAAATATGAATCATTAATTTTATTAACAAAATAGAAAATAATTTTTTTGTTAAACATGTTATTCTTGGCAGGAAAAAACCTATTAGAATTATTTAATGAAATATTGAGGATATAAATAGCATTTAGCAGTGCTCAGCATTTGACTTTGTCTCGTACTTGATATTTTATGATTGTGCATCGATTTTTATTGCCAACAATTTTAATAAATATTTTTAATCGATAGATCAGTATCTTCAGAATGAATCATTGTTTATATAAAAAGTCATTTAGTACCAATTCAAATATTAACAATCTTGCGCAAAATGCACTCGTAACCTATCGACCTTTTGCGAGTGCAATAGTTGCTATTGTAGATACAGGACAACGGATTCATTGTCCTGTCTCGCAATTTAGCAATAACAAACATAAGCTCAATAACATTTAAATCGATTTTATTATTATGCAGTTGCTATTATATATTGGATTTGTGTAAAAATGTTAGTGATTTTTATAATAATCTCGTTAACGGCGCCTTTGGCTCAATGTGGGGGATACAAGAGGTATGGGTAACAGAAAATCTAAATTTTATTTAAAAATGAACAACTTGTTAAGCTTGTATATAATTTTCCAATATTTTACACAAAATACATTTGCTAAAATATTGTATTTATTATATAATTTTTATTTATGCTTTCATATTTAAGTTATAAGTAAAGCAATCAATTATTTTAATTAGAAACATTCAATTATATCGAACTTGTTTATGATTTGATTTTTATTTATATTTTATCCATGAAAATTCAGTTAAATCGGTATTGATAATTTTCTAATCAATCCTCTGGTCAAAGAGGTTTTCTCCTAACCGGTCCTGCTGCAGTAACACCAGGAGGAGATGAAACTTATTGCGCCACATTTCACCATGTGTCCGGTTCCGCCAGAGGCATTTTAGATCTAACCTGGGGCGATGGAACCAGCAGCACTGTCGAATTACAATGGACCAACGGTATCAAAACTAAAATTATATTGCAAAAATACATTTTAATACATTAATTGACTGCAATTAGTAAGTTTGCCCGACCTGGAATGCTTCAAATTATCCATACCACTATTATCCGGAGGTGGACCAGAAGAGGAAGGTCGCCTCAGGCTGAGAGTGTATTTTGGAGAAGAATTAGGATATTCTGTAGATGGATGGGGAGTTGTTGCTTTGGCTCATGCTTCAAGACCTTCATTAGCTATTGCAGAGACTGATTTGCCAGTATACAGGCCTGATGATTTAGTTCGAGTTCGGGTGCTTCTAATTCGGCCAGCAGACTTTGCCATTGTTCAGAGTGTGGTAAGAGTAAATGAAAATTAACTTCAATCTAAACCATTTTTTTAGATTTGTTTAATATTTATTTTTCCATCAGATACATAAAATTTGGCTACTAAATCCATCTTATTTAAAAGTAGCTCAATGGAACAACGTGACAACGCGTCTGGGTTTAGCTGAACTTCAGTTTCGTCTCTCGTCAGATCCTCAACAGGTAGTTAAAAATTCTATTTTGAAATATTTGATTAAAAGAATAACTATACTACAAAATTTCCTAAATAAATTAGGGAATTTGGAGAATTAAAGTATTAATAGATGATTACCAGAAGCAAGAAGATGAAATCACGTTTGAAGTTCGACATCATGTTCTTTCCAAATTTCATTTAAGTATTCAACATGTGAAGGAAATGACTTATCCCAGCGATTACTATTCATGGAAAATATGCTCAAGGTACAATAAATAATTATTAAAAAAAGCCATTTATCAAATTTAATCATTTACAAAGGAAATTTTTTGCTATTGTTTTAACAGATATAGTTATGGAAAACCTGTGAAAGGTGTATTAAACATTCAAATAAAAGCTGCAACAGAAAGTGGCACAGAATCTTTCTACAATGAAACGATTTCTGAAGATCAGGTATGTCCAAATTTTTATAAAAAAATCCTGCTACATAAAATTTGATTCTGAATGTTTATTTTCGATTCTGTATAGTTAGATGGACGAAGAGGATGTCTCAACTATTCTATTACAGCTTTGCAAGGATTAGTTTTAGGTCCTGGAGTAATTTCAATGAATGCTACAATGATAGAAAGTGCTACTGGAAATGAAGAGAACGCTTCTACCCATACGAAAGTTTCTAGACGTAAATATGATATAAAATTCATTAATACGGACAAGTATTTTAAATATGGACTTGGTTTTTCTGGCCAGGTATTTGTTTTTTCAATAATATAAATTTATTACTCTCTTAAACACTTTATTGATCTTACGTTATTAAGGTTCAAGTTACTTCGATAGGATCTAACACCCCTAAATCTGATGTTCCTCTCAAAATTTGTTTTGAAACTATTACTACACAAGATGAAGAAAATGAAGTTTGCAGAAGCTACAAATCAAATCGATTAGGTTTGGTTATATTTCGTATTGCACCTTTGAGTGAAGATATTACTATCATAAATATTAGAACACAAGTAAGATAAATAATGAGAATTAAATAAAAATTATAATATGCTAAATGTTTTAAAATTGTAGTGTGTGGATGAAAAAGGTCCGAGTTTGATTTTAAATCCTTGGTCAGTGCAATCGAGTGCACATATATCAGTATCAAGACCACCAGGAATTGTACCTTTGATGTGCGGTATAGAGTATGACTTTCCTGTTATTTACACTGCACCTGACGAAGCTCTTCATGCTCCACAAATTATGCATTATTTAGTAAGATTACAAAATAATATTGTATTGCAATTTTTCCTTTTCTATTGATATTGTAGGTAAAAAACTCGTGGTGGAATAGCGTCTCGCGGTTCTGTGTTTGTTCCTTCATCTTCCACGGCAATACCAGATCGTCGTGATGTGCCAGCTGCTGTTAAATTGAATCCTGACTTAGCTCCTGGACGACGGTTAGCTCGAGTTTCACTACGAGTTCGTATTACTAGTGCTATGGCACCAGAAGGTTGGTTTGTTGTATATTATGCAAGAGGAGATGGTGAACTTGTTTCAGGATCAACCAGGTTTGAAGTGCAGAGATGTTATGGACAAAAAGTAATAATAGACAAACACACAATATTATTTCTGCAGGACTATTTTTTTTTCTTTTTATTTTCAGGTTCATCAATCATGGATTCAATCAAAAGCTTATCCAGGAGATGCAGTTACCTTACGATTACGTGCTGCTCCAAACTCATTATGTGCCATTTCCACATGGATGGACGTGTTAAACAACTAACAACAGATTCTTCATTTAACCGTGGTGGTGCCATTTCTTCTGATCTGGTATATGGACGGATCATTCAAAATGCGGCGAGTAGAAAAACGAGCGTCATGGAAGATATCGAATGTTTAGATTGTAAGTAGAATTATTGTACTAAATTTTGACTTATACCAGGTTACAGATTAATTAATCAATGGATAAAATTTTTGAAAAATTATTAAATTTCTTGTTTTATAGATAATAATAAAATAGATTCAGAACTTTCCCAGAATTTGTCAATGAGCGATTCATCAAAACGAAACGAAGAGGCATATCAAATATTGAAGCTCTAGGAACATTCCAGGTAAAAAATCCTTCAAATTCAAAAAAATTAACATCTCTGTATATTTTTTATTTTCTAGAATGCTGATTTAGTAGTAATAACTGATTTGGATATGAAGACACTAACCTGTATCCCAAATGAAGATGATATTGGTACGATTTTGATAATTAAATTTTCTATCTATATTTTATTTTTAACAAACTTTATTTCACCAGCTTCTAGACTTGATTCTCTTGATGGCGATGGAGGAATTCCCAGTACATTATACCAATATTCGGATTCAGGGAATTTTAAAACTGATTCATTTCGCGACTATTTTCCAGATTCTTGGTTATGGGAATTAATCCATATCGGGTGCGTTAGAATTTAATTAAATATGAATAGGTATCATTGTATAACAATTAATATTTTGTAGGTCCGAAGGAAAAGCAAGAATTAACTTATCAATTACCTCATACATTAACAACTTGGCATAGTTCAGCTTATTGTTTATCAGAAAGCCGCGGATTAGGTGTAGCTACACCTTCTACTGCTCGGATTACAGCCTTCCAGCCATTTTTTGTGGATATTGCAACGCCTTATTCTATTAAACGAGGAGAAATAGTGGAGTTATCTGCGCAAGTTTTCAATTATCAAGATGATAGTTTACCGGTAAAAAAAACAACACATAAAACAACAGCAACACTTGAAATTATTAACACTTAATTTAGGTTTCCCTAAGCATTACTGCAGTGGATGGTTTATCAGCTTACATGTTTGATGGTGGTAACATCTCATCTAAATGCGTTCCATCTAATGATGCCGCAGTATTTGCGATCAGCTACGTGCCACTGAATTAGGAAAGGTATAATAATATTATAAAAATGTTTCTAAACTGATGTTTACGACCTTTATAGTACTGTTTTTAGTTCAATTTAACATTGACTGCTCAAGTTGACACTGGATATCCAGAATCGTGTGGACCGGAAACATTAATGGACATCAGGTAGAACGAAAGGGATATGTAGTTTTGCTAAATGTAAGAAATCATGTATACTAACTACAGAGAACTAATATATTTCAGAGACATTTTGGTGAAACAAATATTAGTTGAACCAGAAGGATTTCCGGTAGAAATTACAAAATCTGCTTTCTTGTGCCCAAAAGGTAAGGAAACTCAATTACATTTGTAGTTGCAAATTTTATCATAAATAGAAGTTTATCAATATTTCAGAATTTCCTGAGGAATCTTCTTTGACTTGGTCTTGGGAACTACCAAATTATGTCGTCGAACAGTCTGCGAAAGCTCAAATTTCAGTAATAGGAGAATTGGTGGCGCCTATTTTACAGGTACCGTGATTGTTAGAAGGTTCTATATCATGATTGTTATCTTGATTTTTTTTGGAATTTTCAGAATTTAGGTAATCTTGTTCAACTACCGTTGGGCTGCGGCGAACAGAATATGATTTTGTTTGTGCCAAATTTGTATGTTCTAACATATTTAGATGCAAATAGAATCGAAAATGAACATTTAAGATCAAAAGCACTGTACAACTTGAAAATAGGTATTTAGATAGTAATTAGGTAAACTTAAATAGCATTGGTATATATAATTTATTATATTTTTTGTTTTCTTAAGGTTACGAACGCCAACTGAACTATCGTCACAAAGATGGTGGTTATTCAGCATTTGGCGAACAAGATGAATCGCCATCCACATGGCTCACAGCTTTTGGTTTACGTACATTTGCTCAGCTTCAACGGCATGTTGATATAGACAAAAACGATCTGATGTTATCCAGGAGTTGGTTGATGTCGCAACAGCTTGAAAATGGATGTTTTCAAAGCACTGGCTACGTTTTCAATTCAGCGATGAAGGTAATTCATAGAATAGTCTTATTTTACTAATTATTTATTTGATAAGTTGCTATAATCATATTTCAGGGAGGTTTGGAGGATGAAGATTTGGTGGGGTTAACAGCATTTGTCTTGATTTCACTTATAGAAACAAGATTGCCTGTTAAAAGAAGCTCTATTAGTTCCGCAAGATTTTGTATTGGTTCCGTAAATGGTCCCGGCGTCAACGCTGATTTATACACATTAGGATTGGCTACTTATGCATATTCTTTGCTTGGACCACAAAAAAAGGATGCCAGATCAAGTTTAGCTAGACTTCTGCGAAGAGCAACATCTAGCGAAGGTAATTCTTTAAATAATAAACTATCAGTATTATATTAACAATTAGCTTTTAATTACATTTGTCGATTTTTTATCAGGTATGCTATATTGGCAAAGTGAAGATGATCATCTTGCTGTAAACATTGAGATAACAAGTTATGCTATTCTTGCTCTCGTGAAACATGGTGGAAGAGAAAATATGGCATATGCTTTGCAAGCTGTAAAATATTTGTCCAGGCATCGAAATTCGCATGGTGGTTTTGTGTCGACTCAGGTACGTACTAATAATATTTATAAATAATTTACATGGGTTGCTATGGTTAATATGAAATTATTTTTAGGACACGAATGTAGCATTGCAAGCTTTGGCAGAATACGCTAATAGTGCACCACTTCACAAAACAAATATAACAGTTGGCATAAATTCAAACAATATTATTCATAGTATTCCTATATTATCTGGTGATCCTCTTTCTATACATGAATTCAAATCCATACCAAAACACGTAACCATAACTTCACAAGGCGATGGATGTGTTGTTATTCAAGGTAGTTATAACTGCTACATTAAATTATAGGAACAACTTTATAGAAAATTATGCAAATGATCATGATTATTAAATTTTTTTAGGATCGTTAATGTGCAATGTTAGAGGAACAGCACCAAGCAAGTCTTTTAGCTTAGAAGTACGTGCTAAGCCGCTTTCTCGTCAACTATCATGTTCTTCAATCCAAAATATTCGAGTATGCACGTGGTTACGTTTGCGCCACGTGGCGATTAATATGGCAGTTTTAGAAGTTATGTTACCCACCGGTTATGAGCCTGATCGGGCTTCATTATTTAAGGTTCAGGTAAGAACATTCTCTTAAGAAACATATTTTTATCCTAATACCTTTTACACATTTCTAGCAAACAAAAAATAATATGGTTAAACGTTTCGAAGAGCAACCGAATCTGGTCTTGTTTTACTTAATTAATCTACCAACTCGCAGAGTTTGCCTGGATTTCCTGATTGCACGCTCTCAGCATATTTCTAAAATAGAAAATGCAAAGCCTGCTCACGTACGAATTTATGATTATTACAAACCTGATATAACTACTGTAAAATCATATTTGCTCACAACTAATTGTGAAAATAATACAATTCCTATGTACTTTGAAATGGATCGCAATACTGAAACAAACGATCATACCGATGGCGTGGGGCAGATAGAGAGCACTACTCTAGCCAATTTTGCTACGAATTATAATATGCTGTACACTACTATAAGAACCAATACAGATTATTCTATCAGGACCACAGAAGTTGATCGAGAACATTTTACTATTGCAACATACGAAACGCAAGAAATGACTGAAGCGAATACTGAAAGAAATGAGGATGATGAAGAAGAAGATTTAGATAAATATTCAGAAGTTATTTCAGAATATAATAAAATTGATTGCCCAAAATGTTATGTAGGCATACCTTTAGAGTTTCCTGAAATTTACTGCAATGCTGTGAATGCATTTTATTCAAACGACGGCAACACAATTTTGATGGACTTCAATCCTAAAAAGCGAGAGTTTGTTAAAATGAACTTAACACTGAACATTGAGATTGCGGATAATTGTGATTGCAAACCTTTCTTCAGAGGTAATTTAATATTTACTACTACTACATGTGGTATCTATCATAATAGTTATTTTTTTTCCTTTTAGCTGGAGCTCATTTACTAGTCATGGATCATGGTTTACCTTTCCTGGATATATTGCATCCTGATTCAACATTAGTATTAGGAAGCAGTTCTCATATCCTCGGTTTAGGACCAGTAACAGGAAATGTTATACCCAGCAGACAGGTTTTGCAAAGGATTCGAAGGGTTAGACAAACGTGTAAGGTAGATAAGAATGATGAAGGTGAGCATGAAGCTACTTCTGTCGACAACTAATATTTCTTTCCTTAACTATTATATGCTAAGTTCTATTCCTTCTTATTTAAGATATTATATATTTCACGATCAGAAGAGATTGTTGGTCGTTTAAGTTTAACAACTGTATTATACAAGTAAAAAAAACAATCATTTTATATTTCTTCATTTTATATTGTCGCCATAATATAAATTTAGTACAAACTTCTTTATACATGCTGTTTATTATGTAGAAATATTATTACACATTTTATTAAAATTGTATTATATTAGCGTTAAGTGTCTAATACACATATTTTACTTTTTATTATATGCAATTGCAATGACTAAATAGAAAACACTAACTTGCTAAATAATTATTTCACTACAACAGATACACAATGTTAAAAAATGTTTTAGCTTATAATACAAATTACTTTTGAGAATAATCAACTGATTAATACGACGTTATAATATCTTATAATTTAATTCCACTGGGTTACAAAACTTTGGTTTAATTGGCCTAAGAATAAGATAATTGATTAGAAAAGTCGAAACCGTAAATATTTACATTTACAAAGTTTACAAAATTTATTATATTACACACTTATATATCTATTGCTGGATTGAATTCTTTTTTTGTGAATTCTTAGTATAATAATTACATTCTTCATACTAGCATTAAAAAGTGATGTGGGATGGATTGTAAAATTTTAATTCCTTCACTCATTAAATTGGTTGTATCTTAAAATATTTAATATCTGCAATTACCTTTTACAATCACATATTATTGTATCAAGGTAACAATTGCAATTGTTTTAAATTTATTTTTTTATTTTAAATAATATTTCTGAGCCGATTTTAAGATTAAGAATTCATGACTAAAAATAGAAAATCGAATTGACTACTAAATTTTGAACTACTTTATAAGATTTATAAACTTGTCTAACCACGCACTCCTAATATCCTACACGAAGCAGCATTTAATATTAATCCAATCTTATGAAACAGCCCTCATATTTTCGTAAAATGCAGTGCTTCTAAATTTCAAGGGCCTAATTTTCATCTAAACATAAAGTCGCCAGTCCATAAAACACTTTTACAAAATAATTATAAATAAAAAAACAACAAAAAAACCTATATAAAACATATCCTGAAGCAACTGATCATCAGGTCAATGCGTTATTTAACTGACTTCCTAACTCCACAAACAATGAACTTCATTCCGTAAGATTCACGCATTTAAAACCAAAAACTAAACACAAATTCCGATTCGACGGCTATCCTTCGCGGTCGTTCTTCCTTTGTCATGATTTTACAGCTCCTGAATTTCCATTTGTTGGCAAAACCTCTGATCCATTACAAGGTTTCGAACTACCACCGCCCAAGTTGTGAAGTCGTTCTGTTTCTTTTTGTAGTTCTAGCATTACTTCTTGTATGGTGTCTGTTAATATTTTTCTGGCAACTTGTTCGCTGACCTTTTGCCTCTTTAGTCGGGCCACAGTGTCACTGAGATCGATTGGAGTTCCGTAGTTCATGGTAATTCGTTTACCGAATCTGAGAACATATGGTGGAGTGTTTGGCAGTACACTGTCCATGCCAATGTGCCACATTGGGACTATTATGGGTGGGACGGGCGATTCGTAGACTAGGCGACCTATACCCCATTTAAATCTGAGGAGGAATGTTTTATAGATGTAAACTATAATGTTTACACAACTCTTAAGCTCTGAACTTGTGTTGATTATAGAAAATTTTGTTTTAGTCCAATACCAAAAACAAATTGGTATTTTAAGTAACATCTTGATATGTAGTCAAAGGCTCGTTTTCAAAAAAGCAGTTTTATAACGAGTTATTTTAATTTAATCGTGGGGTAAAATCTTGTGTATTGAATAGTATACTAGTATGGGTTATTTAAATCGCAATTTTTGAGAAAAACAAATTTTGAACATTTTGAAAACACACGCATAATAAAATATCAACAGTTTAATCAACATTATCCGTGTTACGGTTGCATTCTTTCTGGTAAAGAAAATCTTCACCGGATTGCATAAGAATTGATTTATGCACGATGATGCAACTTTTTTAGATGTTAGCCAAAAATTTGAAATGGCAAGAACGATTACCAAAGTACCATTGTGTATAATATTATCCTACGCTGGATATCACTCCATAGAAAGAGTTTGACTTACTTTCATATGTATAATAAATATATGTAATAATTCAATTTCTGGATATTTAGTTTAATACGTATTAATGCAATGTACGGTTGCTTTGAGCATAGAAGTAATAATATATTCAATTTTATAAAATAAATCTTTTCAATTTAATATAGGGTTCACCAACCAGCTTTTTTGAAAAATGCCTTAAAAAATCTACTGATTATTTTGCCAATTTTCTTTTTGTTTGAAAATTCTATTAAAAAACACTAAATATTTTCTCTTTTTTATTTGAAAGTAAAATGTAAAGAGTGCAGAGTACACAGTAGGGTTGCTTAAGTCGTACCCCCTAAAAAAAAGTTATTTGGCGGACCCTACATGTGACCAGTGTAACGTAGTCTATGATTAGCGAATAGACTCGTCATTACTCGATTTTGACTAAAAATTATGATATAAATGCTAAAAAGTTAACTGGTTAAAATTGCACGTAAAAGATAAATAGCACGATTTTTTTATTATTCTCTAATCGCAATATTTGATAACATTACAACCTACAGTTGTTACACTTATGAATGCTCAAACTTTTATTACCAACAATAGTTTTGTATCTTGTGACACGTGCAGATACTAAAATAACCAATTGTTTTATATATAAACATGGTTTTTATTAATTTTGCATTTTCGGATTCCTTTACTAACCTGATAAATTCCTTTTCCATATTGACTTTGCCTTCAGGAAATATGTGTACCCAATCTCCCATTCCGAGCCTTTCTATACAAAAATCGACGGCGGCCTGATAAACTCCTGCACCTCTTATCACAGGAACGCATTTTCCGAGCATGAAAAATAGTGAGTGATATTTGTTCGTAAAGCATATGTCATGAGCAGCCATCGACCATCTCATATATTGGCGGCTTGCTAGAATTTTTATATCTAGCGAACCTGGGTAAATGAAAATATAATAGAATTAAATCTACGACGTTTTCTATTTCTTTTACAATGGCATCGATAATATTTTTATATTTTCTATGAACATTAATTTAACCAATAGTCCATCTCATATATTTGCCAATATATCTAGCGAACATGGATAAATTAATAAAAAATACTAGCAAACCGGGCGAACTCCGTTTCACCACCAGATGGTTACATTTTATGTAACATTTCGTTTGGTGATTAAGAGATGAAGAAAAAAATTGCCTGCTGTTGAAATTGAATAAAAATTTGCACAATACACGTGATTGATTTGATGGTTTCCAATTGAAATGTTAGGAAACGAATAACTTATTTTTTTACATTTTTTGCACAATTTCACAGTGAACACAATGCCGGTTTGTCACATGAAATTAATTGAGCAGAATACAATGAGTAGCTGTCAAACAAATGAGTAGCAGTCAAACAAAAAATATTAGTTTGTAGCACATGCTAAGTATCAGAGATGACGCTGTATGTGAAAAAAGTGTTTTCCGCTTCAATTTTCTTTGCTATAAACCTCACGGAGTCCGAGACCTTTCCAACGAATGCAAAATCGTCGAAATCGGTTCGTGCGTTCTGGAGTTATATCGTCAGGAAGGAAAATCCGACTTATTTTTATATAGTAATATTAAATCTATCACGTTTTTTTATAGCCTTTGCAATCGCGGCGACCAATATACGTATATTGCCTGTAAATCATTAATTTAAAACATATTATACTTCCAACCAATCAACAATCTCATATATGGCAAATTTGGTAAAATTTTCATAATACATATTACATGATCTGGCAAATAATTTATCGTAAAAATCAGCTCGAAGAACAATATTTTTTATGGATTTTCCTAATTAAATAATTTATATTCATTGCATTTACGCAATTTAAATGTTTGAACAACAAAATGTAAATTTATATTTATAAAAAAATGCTTTTATGACCATTTAAAAAAATCATGGCCTTGAAAAGATTTTCCATTTGTAGTTTTAGTTATTACGTAGCCTAATATAACCGATGACCTAAACAGATAAATATTCGACACACAGCACACATGAGTGCTAACGAATATAAATCAATTTATAGTTTTATTGATAAAAAAATATTTATAAAATATATGTATATTTTATAAAAATTACCCCATAATCCTGGATCGTCGAAACACGAGTGATGATTTGATACTGTGAGCAATGGCACTCCTTTCGGTCGTGAGGTCAACGCTCTTTTGATCACATCTTGATTATAAATTGTAGGCCGGTTTAAAATTTCTGCAAATTAAAGGATTATTTTTTAATATAATTTTTATGAATACAAGGCAACTTAAAATTTGTATCTTATAATAGGATGAAGCAGTATCTTCCGCGGTATCCACTGCTAAAATATTCTAGGTAATTCCCTGATCTCTTCTCATGATGTTTTTTCTGCTTAGTTTAAATTGAATATATTTACATTTTTTATAAGTATTAATTTGTTCATTAATATTTGCAGTATATATTGCTAGTATATCACAAATATTGATAAAATTTGTCCACTACAGATAGTCCTATCACTAGGTAACCCCTCAAAAAATAATTTTGTAAATAACCTTACTAATGTTTTGTAATTAAATCTTACTAAATGTATTTTAAGACAAGTATTTTCATTACTATTTACAATATATACTGTTAGTATATCACAAATTGTGATAAAATTTGTCCACTACAGGAAGTCATTTCAAAACTTATTTTTGTAAATTATTTTAAATCAATTGCCAAATGAATTTTAAGACAAATTGTTTAGGATAAAGACTCATATGATATAAAAACAAATTCTTAACTTGTGTGTTACCAATATTTTTCATCAATAACTTTGATTTAACGACTTTTGCATGTTAAAAATGATACCATTATCAATACGTTGATATTTAAATTTATATTTATTGCATAGATTTGCACTATTACCCCTAAAGATAGTTTTACCATTAATTTTGAAAAATTAATTTTATACATTATTATAAATAAATTACTGAATGTCTCTTATTAAGACAGATTGTAATATAATATATTACATATTTATATCACATATTATGTGATATAAAAAATCCCTAACCTAAGTTACTAAAATTTTTTATCAAAATTTTGATATAAACGACCTTTGAATGTTAGAATTGATATCATACTCACACAATTAGTATCATACAATGATATTTATATTTATTCGGATACAAGATTAGACCATTACAGTAAAAAATTAATACTCAAATGATATTAAATCTAAAAATAAATAAAATTACGATATACTTTAATAGTTAATTCTTCTATATGGGCCCGCGTAACTTCTAGGAATCATTCTAAATTTCTTGATATTTTACCAAATAATTATGTTTTTTTTTTTCGTGAGATTACGCATAAATCTTAATTCTATAATGTTGTCAAGATAATATTTATGACCTTGGCTTTTCAACCTGAAATAACATATTCATAAAGAAATGTACGAACATTATAAGCCTTGAAAGTCACATAATTCATTAAAACCAAAAAATTTGTTTAACCAGATTTCTTTAATTTTTATTTGTATATATAGACTCTTAATTACTAATTTTTCGTTAACTAACTTTTTTGAAGTAAAAACAAAATTTCGCCTCATTGAGGGTTAATATGTAAAATTTGAATGTACTTTGTATATAATAGTATACAGCACCGGATTTAAAAATGATTAATTTAATTTCTTGAATTTTTTTTCATAATATTTCATATCCGACGACTTCTCTAAAAAAATCTTTATTTCATAACATCATATCCTATTTAGATTATGAATCCCTATATACATTTTTTTCTATAATCTTCTAATAAACTCCTTTTGATCAACTAAAAATATAACGTCCTTGCAATATCTTTTATTAAATTAATCCTACGTAATCTAAGAATATTTCATCCTATTAAGAACTTTACGAATAATCTTTAAGTCTATTATTAAATTAGGTCAAGTGCAATAGTGTGCAAAATTTATTACATATTGCATTGAAACTGGATTTGTTCACGCCCATGCTCTTTTTTCTTATTACAATATAATAACTATAAAGACTACATGTCTTGATAATTAAAGATAGAAAGTCTTATTAGAATAACATTATTGAAATATTGAATACTAAATACTAATATTCTTTATTTTTTCTCCATGCTTTCTTTTTCCATTATTTGCAATACTATAAATTACTGATTATTTTACTTATTAACTAGAAAATATCTGTATTAATTTTTAAAATTACAGTAGCCACGATAGTTAAAAATAAACGTTATGCAATTAAATAATTAAAATCAACATTTGTTTTCATATTAAGACATTAAAGTCTTGATTAACGAAAATAAATTATAACAAAAAAAAATTGTTTTTCAGATTCATCCAAATAATTCTATTTGCCATAATTAATGTTCAAATGATTTTTAAAACAGATATATGGCCCAAGTTTAATGAAAAATTATCTTAAAATAGTATAATTTTTATAAATAAATATATGTACATACATAAAGTATAAAAAACTAATTTGACTAAAATTTATTTAACTAAATTGCAAAAGCATTTAACTAAACTTAAAGCTGCAATAATTAAAAAAAACTACATCAAGTACTATAATTATAGATAAACATTTTGCAATTAAATAATTAAAATTAACATTTGCTTTCAAATTGAAATGTAAATAATTTTTGCCATAATTAAAGTTAGATTTATTTTAAAAAATAGTAGATTTTTTAGAAGATATGTTGAGAATGTTTTAATGAAAAATAATACAAATGTTGAATAAACATAAATATTTTATAATAACTTAATAAATAACATAGTTAAATTGTTTAGTTGAAAAACAATCGTGTGCTCTGGTGAAATATCATTTCTTCGATTCTTGATGACAAATTAGGTAGAAGCTAAATTGAGTCCAATTTATATATAGATTATTTATATGTGATTCAGACGATTAACTAAATATATATATATATATATATATATATATATATATATTTATATACTTATTTTATTATCTTTTTCTTTTTATATATAAACTTTAATCATACTAAAAGATCCATTATGTATGATTACTATGAGAAACATGTTTCAATTCATTTAAAAGCAATCAAAACTATTGGTATTTCCCTGCATGATTAAATATATTCCACGACATTCTATTTATGCATACTCTGTATATTTTTTTCTTCATATATTTATATCTTATTTCACAACAAGTATTAACAAACGTGCTGTATATCATTCATATGTGCTCATAACGCGGAAGTTGCTTAGAAAGTTCCAAGGGCGCTTGATTTGAAACAAAGAATTTGAAAAATTGGACTATAGAAATTGAAAAATGATCCGAAAAATCTTGAACCGATTTTGAAAATTCAAAAAGTTGGAAAAATATTAGTTGGGAATCGTGTTGGTTAGTTTTTGGTAAAGAACGGCTGAACCGTTTCTTAGTAATTATGATAATTTTGACAAAACTTTGGACGTTGCAGGGTTCAGGGTCTTAATGACCCTGAGGTAACATTTTACAAGCCTGCGAAAAGTGATTCAACTATAATGAGTTCGAAATAATGGGCAATATAAAAATTTTAAAAATGCTTGAACCGATTTTGAAGATTCAAGATCCGAAAAATCTTTAACCGATTTTGAAAATTCAAAAAGTGTTGGAAAAATAACAGTTGGGGATCGTGCTGATTAGTTTTTAATGGTAATTAATGATGAATTTGGACGTTGCAGGGTTCAGGGTCTTAATGACCCTGACCTAAAATTTCACAAGCATGCGATAAGTGGTCCAATTAGGATAAAATATCAAAGGTGGAAATAATGGGCAATGTAAAAATTTGTAAAAATTCTATCGTCACGATTCTAAAAGTTGCTAAAATAAAGTATTTGCAATACGCCTTAAGGTAAGGTGTGACCCTACGTCCTGGTTTGGCCGGGACAGTCCTCGATTTGGTCACCTTACTTAAGGCAAAATGCGATTTACACCTACACCTATAGTTCATATTTAATGTCTGATATCATAGATGTGATTACTATTAATTTCAAATATTAATAAATTAGTGTTTTTCAAGTAGTATATACACGTTTATCTTATGCATCGTTTATTGAACATATTTGAATTGATTTTGTACCAAGTAAAAGTGATTTTCGACATACATATACTCAATCCTAATAAGAATAAAATATAAATTAAATTTATATAGGTGCATGTATATACATATTTACACACACATATATATATATATATATATATATATATATATGTATATGTATATATGTATATATGTGTGTATGTGAATGTGTATTTGTAATAGAGAGATGAGACACAGACAATTATATGATAAAAAAAAACTCATGACGCACTGTACCAAAATGAAAGTCATTTTGTACATAGCAATTTAATGTCAGATAATTCTTTTTCGATTGTTTTGAAATAATGCATTTTAAATTATATCGATACAAAGATTATAATAATTGTTTTTCATATTTAAAATATATATGCAAATATCGCTCTTCTAAATCTTGATAGATGACGTAGTTGGAAATATTAATTGACTAGTAAACAATACGCACATTAGGACGCAAAAATAATAACTCATCTGGTATGCTCCATTAAATTTAATATGCAAAAATTTATTATAATTGTTATTTACATATGGAATAATTTTCTGTAATCTAAACATATTACGAACATGAATATTTTTGTTAAATGCAAGTATAATTTTTTAAAGTGAAAACTGCGATTTTTATCTTATAATTATTACCTGTGATTACAGAGTATTGCATTTATATCGCTTCATAGATAAAATTGCAAGTTGTAATAAATTCGCGAAGGAAATTGTTGCTGATAGTGTAAAATAAAATACAAGAAATTATAATAAATTAAATATAAGGTCTCTCAGGAGGTCTCGTAATGCATAAGTTAACAATAATTGAGTAACGGACGTTAACTCAGGAAGTTAATCATACGTGTTCCGGTCGTCGAATGAGAAATAAATATTAATAATATTTTTTTGCAGTTTTTACTTGTTGAATTTTACATATATAGTACTGATTTTTATGAAAAAAGCGTTAATTTTTTTAGGGATTTTTTAACGTGGTTAAGAATCTCACCTCAAGGTTACGGATACAAAATTCGCCCTACATACACCCTGATCAAGCAGTAGTGATATCCGATTTTTTCTGTGATAACCGAAAATGTAGATCAAAACGTATATTCACAAGTGCAAAAAGACCTCGTATAGAAGTATCTAAAATGCTTGGATATAAGAAT